ACTTTCTCTTCCTCACCAGAGACCTGCCTCCCTATTAATTGCGGTGTGTTTGCGTGTCGTAGAGTAAGGAGATGTGTATGTGCGCGGGCATTTGTTTGTTTGTGCGTGTTTGGGTTTGTAATGTGCAGAATGTGTGCATTTTTGTGTGTTTGCTTGCATGAGAGTGTTTCCAGCCTCTGTTTTGGGGTGGAGGTCAGTTCTCAGGCCTTTCGGGGTGCACCCTGCCAGATGTGACTGTTTCTTTAGTTGCAACGCAGATGCGCATACACATTGCACGTGGTGTGTATCCATATTTCTTTGTTGGTGTGTGGCGCTTGCATAAGCACAAGCGCATGTGACTTAGCCAGGTGGAGAAGAGATTGGTTGGTATTTATGAACAAATGTCATAATTGTGACAGGATGATGTACGACCTGCACATTCCACAGTTTCTCCCCTCCTTTTTTCTTTCTTTTTTCTGTTTTGCTAAAAAATATATATCTATGGTATGAGTCTTAAAAGCTGATGGCCAATTTAGTGGGGTGTGTTGCAGACAAGGTCACACAGATTCGAGTTTCTCTACGTTCCTCCCTCGGAGGCCCGTTCTAATCTGCAGAGCAAGAAGAAGGGCTCAAAGTCATTTCTCTAATTGCTTTTATAAGGTGCCCTTTTCACATGGTCTCTTCGCTGCTCATTCACTTTCATTGCATCATAACACCTTTCCTCTTCACCTGCCGTTTGAGGTATATCCATGTTATTTTGCTCTAACTTTATGGTGATATTAGGAATCTCATCATCACTGGGAATAAAATAATTTCAAACATAAAACATTTTTTTGTTCCGTTCTTTATGACTAATCAGGGGTATGGAGGTTAAGTGCTTTGTACATATGGAGGTACTTTCAGATTCTTAAATGTTGCCCCTGCATGGTGATCCATACGGGGCACTGAGGTGGTGAGAAGCACAAGGTGAGAGAAGATGGAAACAGGGGTTAAAATGTGATAGTGAAGGCTGAGAAGGATAAGGGGTGTGGGGGATGAGATTGAGCCTAGTGCATTAAGACAGTGTATTATTTGGCGGTTCCACTTGCTTGCGTCCATTAGGAGTGGCTGCTGTGCCATTAAAGGGGTCAGCGAAGTGTGTGTACCTGTAGATGCGTGTGTGAGTACGCCTACGTGTGTATTTTAGGAGTTAAGAGAGTGGTCCAGTGTCTTATTGAGCAGGATGGGGCTCCCCTTCTTTAATACTTCTTCATTTTATTGGATTGGATGGCCCCAGTTATAATTGCATTAGAGCTCTTACCCCCTTCTACCCTCTACTCCTTCTCAGTCTTTCGCCACTGGACCACATGTCATTTTACAATACACGTGGAAAACACCGAAAGGCACCATGCCTCCACGCATGCAAGCAAAGGTTAACCATTTGTTTGCATCTTTTCTTTCTTCCTTCATGTGAAAATTAGAAGTTTTACAAGCAGTTTTTCTTTTGGGTAGATGAGATGGCAACATGAGTGGATCAGAAGTCCATCTATCTAGGGGTGCACCAATTTCAATTTTCTGGCAAATCACCGATTTCTAAAAAAGTATGACCTGCCAATTTCGAATTTGGCCGATACTAATTTTGTTTTATAAGTGACACTGTCAGGTGTTATAAGGCCACAATGCACCTTCAATTTTCCAATCTTATATTATTGAAAAATGGACCCTTGAACAATATCCTAGAAACAATACAAACTTGTTTTAACTGGCCATGAGGTAGTGCGCTGAAATATAAATGAAGTTTAGACAACTGTTATTAAAACTACAATAAATAAATAAATAAATAAATCGGTAAAATCTGTTTCTCATGTAAGTATCGGCCGATCTCCCAAAATTAAGGAAATCGAGGTAGATAAATCGGTGCACCCCTACTTATCTGATTTCTTTTCTGATTTGTTTTATGGACGAGCAGTCTTAAAACTGTTTGCCACATTGTCCAGTTTTCAAGTTGCTAAGCTTATTCAAATGTGTTTTATGCACAATTATCCTTTTGGTTTTTAGATCGAGCGATAGGTTGAGTGTAGCTGGGGGCAGTAAGCTCTGTCACTCCAAGCCGAGGTCTCTGGTGTTGCACACTCAGCGATTGCTCCAGAGTTAACTAGAGAGGCTTTGCTGTCTCTCACTTTTCCTTCGTCCTTGAAGAGACGAGAAGCTGTCAGGGTTCTCATAAAAACCCTGAACGATTGTGTCCGTGCGATCTCCCCGTCTTTATCTATCTCCTTTTTCTTCTTCTCCTTCCAAAACCTGGCCATCTGTCTAATTGTTCACCTCCATAGCTTTAATGTTTTTTACATGCTCCCCCCCTCTTCTTTCCAGGCAATAAACTTTATTTTCTTCGCAAGACTTCCATCTGTAGGGGGAGGGTAGGCGGGCAGGGAAGCAGGCTGCTCACCTTCTTCTTGCTGGATTTGCTCCAGTACCCCCCTCCTCTAACACCCTCCCTCTAGCCTCCCTCTGGTCTCCTGTTTCTCCACCTCTCCTTCCCCTTTTCTCCATGTCTCTAGAGAAGTGGATACGTGTTTGTCAAGCTGACACCTGCTCTCATCCTCTCTGCTGGTCATGCACACATGGAGATCCATCCTACTGAGGAGGCCTTAAAGTGACCTGTTAATTACTATGATGTTGCCTTCCCTGACCTTGTTTGAAACAACTACCTCTTTTTTCTTTTTTACTAAGCTGTGCAACTTTTTTACACTTATATAGACCATATCATGACATTTTCTTACCTCCTCTTACCCCAGTGACACAAGGGGACTAAATATTTTTTTTATTTTTTTGGCAGATTTTTCACTTATGATTTTGTGGACCGTGTGAAAGTGACTAAAAGTATAAATGCATATTGCACATATAAGTCATTAAATTAGACTGTTGTCTCCTCTCACCTGTGATTACTGCTGTGCGCAGATCATATAAGCAGGTACCCTATAATCATATCTATAATAGTCATAATCAGCCCTTTAATGTTCTGTAATAGCATTCGTGTAATAGTATAGAGTGGCATCAAGAGAATAATTCAGGCATAGATAATGGTGTGATAGCATGGTTTTACCCTTGAGTCACAACATTGAATTTGTTGTGTGCATGTGTGTTCGTGTGTGTGCCTGCGTATGCATGTAGAAATACACCCTGGGGCAGTTAAGGTGTCTGTAAAATGCCTGAAGAATCACATTTCCATCGAGAGGTGCTCTTAACCCTTTCTTGTTTTCGTTGTGCTCGCTGCTCCGTGGAACGTCCTTGCTGTGAGTGTCATGTATACTTAGCTTTGCTGAGCCACACATGCTGAGGTAACACTCCCCCACATGACACCCACGTATAGGAGATCCTATCGGTGGAAAGACTCGACAGTGGAGCAGCAGAAGCGGCGGTGGTGGCGTGTGGAGAGCTGAACGCTCTTTTGGGTGTTATGTGAGCTGACAGCGTTCCTCAGGGATAGCGAGCAGGACAAAGGAGAGCGTAGAATCCAGAGAGCGATTCATGAGGGATGCTTCCTGGGTTCAGCGTGCTTTGTCTCACTTCATGCTGCACGATCTTGTGCTAACATATGCCCAGGTCCCTTGTGAGCTCCTATGTAACGGGTAGATTGAACCAAACTTGTTTGTTAAAGGCTTGGGCTGATAAAGATGAAACGAAGTGAGAAAGAAGAAAGAAAATGGCTCTGAGTTGATGCTCTTGACAAACATGGTTATTTGCCATTATTAAAGAGATATACCCCTCTAGGCCTGCGCGTGTCTCTTCTGAGGCCTTTGGCCTGCAGCAGAATGCTACAGTGGGATGAAAAGGATGATGAATATTTAGCTTGTCTTCTCCAGTGTGTAAATGCAGCTATGCATTCATTTCTTAAGTCATTTATCTTTTTCTTCTCCTCCCCTATCCTCACCCTGTCTCCCAACATATGGTGTAAGAAGAGCCACATGTACACACAAATGCACACTGAAAGCACGCATGCATGACATATAGAGCTCTATAGAGCCTTTGTAGTTCTTTCAGAAACAATGTAATTTTACTGCACTTGCTGTTTGTTTTACTTCAAAGTTGTGGAGAAAAAGAGGACACAGGAGGTGAAGTTCTGTTACATTCCACATAACACGTGCTTTTACAATGAAAAAATGTATGCTTTTCGTACTTGCACATAGCTTTTTCCTGCAGAACTTTACCCGACTAGATTCTTTGGCTGGATCCTCGTTTTCAATGGGGTTTAAATCCAAACCTAAAATAAAACTTTACTATATTGCTGCTGAAGTTTTTGGCTAGATTGCATTTCCTTTCCTTCTGGCCAAATTGATTAAATTCAACTATAAACTAGCATCTCACACAGTGTCTGCTGGATATGGGCACCAGTGACTCAAAAAGGAAGAAGCAGATAAAGAAAATGGATGGATGGAAGCATAAGCTATGAAAAATAGTCAGTTTCTAGATGGATATTTTGCTGTTATGTGTAGTGAAAGGTTCAGAAAAGTCATCAGACTAACAGGATTGTAACCAGAATCAGCACTGTTTTGTACTTTTTTCTACTAGTCACAATGAAACCGAGAGTTGAGGGAAGAAATACTTCAAGTATGCATTATGTTTCATAATTTTAAAGGCTGCAAAAATGAGGAGCTTCTTTAATTGAAATGAAGCGTTTAACCCAAAGAACTACAATATTGTGTTTGTGTTCATCCATGATTTGTGGATCAATCCATCTTTAAATAAAATAGAAGCTGGCACAGATGCATTATCATCATACTTTTTTTCTGGAGGGGAATGGAGGTTTAGTTTCTGCTATATCATTGTGATGATCTAAAATAAAAACCACTTGCCTGAAATATATATTTAAAACATTAATATGGTACTGATAGCATGCTGATAATATTGTAATTCATGCTTGTACCTATTGTTTAATGTTATAGGCCAAAAAACAATCTGGCATAATTCATAATTTTTTAAAAATCCTTTTGCTATTCTTTTTCTATGATGTTCATTGTTTTGTGTTTATGTCTCAACAGCACAAAGCAAGAGTAGAGGCCATGATGTGCAACCTGGCTTCTCTCCAGAGTGTTCGGGAGTTTGCAGAGTCTTTCAGGGCCAAAAAAATGTGAGTATAAATCTAAATGTGAAATTTTGAAGCTGTCAGTTTTAACCTCTCTGAATGCTTTATTTTTTTATGTGTGTAAAAAAGTTTTACAAAACTTGAGCAGGCTACATTCATATTTATTTATTTTCTTTGTGAAATAGATTTCATTTATAATCTCTGCCTTCAGTCATATTATTTTATGGAGTTCAGAGTAGATGTGATCTTACTTATTTACGGCCATGAATTTTTGAAATAAATGACAGCGTTTTGCAGCTCTGTTGTTTGGCATCAGATTTAATCAGCAGAGTATGACACTGTCTTTAAGTATAGTTCAGGACAAACTTTAGCAATAGTTAATCCTGCATCACAATAAACACTTTAATGTTCTCCCATTAAAACATTAAAACATTTCACACATGTACTGTCTCCACCGGACCTGTTTAGAACTTAATAGTTGGTATTTTTATATTCTCCATTACTTTCTATATCTTGTGTGATTCCTTGTGTATGTTCCTTTGTACTGAAACTCTGGCACAACAATTTTCTGCAGGATCAATAACGTTCTATCTTATCTTATCTATTGGTCCTTCTTTGTTTTTTTTACGGGCAGCACGGTGGCGCAACTGGTAGAGCTGCTGCCTCTCAGCGAGCAGGTCCTTAGTTCAAAACCCGGTCCAGGGGCCGTTCTGGGTGGAGTTTGCATGTTCTCTCCGTGCATGCGTGGGTTTCCTCCGGGTGCTCCGGTTTCCTCCCACAGACCAAAAACATGCACGTTAGGCTGATTGGTAACTCTAAATTGTCCCTAGGTGTGAATGAGAGAGTGAATGGTTGTTTGTCTCGTTTGTCTCTATGTGTGGCCCTGTGATGGACCTGCGACCCGTCCAGGGTGTACCCCGCCCCTCGCACAGTGATTGCTGGACATGGGCACCAGTGACCCCCGTGACCCAAAAATGGAATAAGCGGGTAAAGATAATGGATGGATGGATGGATGGTTTTTTTACATTTCTTTTTTTAAATAAATGAAAATGCTTTACAGAATTTAAGACATTATTTGGTATTTGGCGTCTCTTATGAAGGACTATTCTTTGTTTTTATCACCGTTATTAAGCGACAAATAAGGGATAACTGAAACACTACTGATACACGCCATATGGACAAGGCCTCAGGAGTGAGCGTGTGTATTTTTGTCCATTTGCTTGACATTGGTCGAACGCTTTCTGTCCCTTATTTTGTTGTGCTCAGCTTTTACAGTATTGTCTTGTGTCCGGTTGTCGGTCGCTCAGTTGCTATTTTGGATTCATAAATATCGTCATCAACTCGCAGGTCTCCATGCAACAGTGTGTGTTTGAGTGTGTGTGTTGGTGTCAAGGGAGCCCTTTGGGGAGAGGCAGGGCAGTCATCGCCCGTAGCAGCCCTGGGGCAGGGTATGGCCATCCAGGACACACGTCTTGGGTCACAGCCAATCCTCTTGGTGGTTTCTTAAAGTTTCATTCGACTCTTACACAAATCCGTTAACTCTTTTGTTCTTATAATTGCTTTCCTATTTCTTTTCTACTAATTGTTTATCTGCTGCAGTTATCTTTCTGTCTTTCTCTCTTGTTCTCTCTCTCTCATGTTGTCTCCATCTATGTCGTTCTCTCTTTACCTCAGTATTTTGGCAAGGTTGTGTTTCTTCATTAGCTGTGCTGTTTGGGGGGGAGTGGGGGGGACTCTCAGGGGACGTCAGAGTACATTAATTCTCATCAGAAGGCGAACAGAGCAGAGTGGAGGCTGGGAGCTCTGAGCTGTGAATGGCACTGGGCAGCTGTCTGAGTCTACCACCACTCTATTACTGCACGTATGTCTTCAGGCATAACACACACACACACATACACACATACACATACACACGTGCATACTTCCACAGCCATGCTCAGACAACTCTGTGTGCACAGATGCACACACACGGGTTTGTAAACACGCACGCACAATAATGCTCCTGCAGCGTGTCATTGACAGGTGAAATGTAATCAGAGTCTTTTTCTTTTCGTTCTCTCGTTTCTCACTCTCTTGCTTTTAAGTGCTTTAGTCAGTGGCTTTCACGCTGCTTTGTGTTCCATTGACCCCGATTCGGCTTTAATTGCCTGTCCTTTGAAATGAAATTACCTGGATATTGATATTGTTGAATGCAGTGCGATTTCATTGGGACGTAATTGATGGAGGACGCGCTGACAGAAAGCCCTAATACAATTTCTACTGAACGGTCCGTAATTAACACGTGCAATTTGTTCTTACCATAGATCCTTTCTTTTCTCCTTTCATTTATTCTGCTCTCATTTAAAGCTCAATATTTGTGTGAATAAAAACAAGTTTTATCAGATCATTCGCGCTTTGTGTTGTGGTCACTTTTTGATTAACATTTTCAAACTTCACAGTCGTTTACTTCTGGTTCCTCGGTTTAAATATGGGTCAGAATTCACGGTGTTCACATATCCACACTGGATGTGTGCTTCCAGTTTCCCTCTTCCCAATAAAGTGCAGTGTTAATGACCACCAGTCTGAGCCCTGCTCACACAGGCAATCTCTTCCTGCTGGCCTACATTATCATAGAGGTCAGGGGTCACACCCATGGGGGTTATTTAAAGTAAATATATAAACGGATGTCTCCCTGTTTGGTAGTTAACACCCTCGTTTGACCAGCGCTGAGATTGCAGAGTGCTCACAGTGTTGTGCGAGGTCTTAATGTGGAGAGAGGGACTCCGGTATGCAGCAATAGGCCTATTAAAGACATTCATTAGACCAGCGCTTATGAGAGAGGGACTAACTGGTGGGCAGTTGAATTAACAGGCCTTTTACATTACAAGCAGACTCGCCAGGGACTTGTCTGAATTGTGTGTGGGAAATTCTCTGCTAGTACAAGAAAAGTTGCGAGTTTTTTTTTATCATAAATTTGTGATTTACTTTGAGTGACTCACTGGATTTGCCCCTTGTCTTGACAGAAAGAGGTCACAGCATTTAATTCCTAAGAGGGATACAGGAATAAAGATTAGTTTAGAGTAAAAGCTTTAGTGAAAGGTTAAAAACTTGGGTCAGGAGTTCATTCCTTGGTGTTATTGCAAAGCCCCCAGTGAGCACATTGAGGCCCGAGCCAAGAGTGTTTTTCCTTGTGTAGCACAATGATGCTTTACTTCCCAGTCTATTAGATAGCAGGGCTTTAGCCCTGAAACAACCAATATAAATGACTGTCTTTTAATCAAAGAGGAATTTGGCAGCAGAATGTGAAATCACAGCATCTTTTAACTTTCCTGTATTGTTTACGTGTTTTCCCTCAAAACCACTAAGTTATACTTCTTCAACTTCTTGTATTTTTGATGAAAATTTAAATACCCCATTGCTGGTGTGTTGATTATATGCTGAGGTTGGCATTCTTTAAGTTGACTCACGCCTAGGTTTGTGCTCTTTAATGAACCTAGTGTGTTCGGAGGCCTGAAGGTGATCGTACAGTACAGTACTATGTAATAGCATGGGATGGCTCATTATAGAAAGGCATAACAATTCACACATTAATTTTCCAGCATCCAGTTTTTAATTAATCCAGTAGGCAGTCTTAAACACAGGGTACACAAATTGCCTTCGGCCTCATAATTAATTCTAATGGAAGAAATTAAAAATTGGTGGGGTGTGTTTGGATTGTTCGCCTGTGTTACTGTGCTTTTGAGCTCATTGGAGCGTCACTGTCACCGACAAGGATCTCTCACTCCCTTGACCAATCCTGCAATCTCTTTCCTTGTGCCACGGGACAAGGTAGATTTACTCTTACGCTCAACAGAAATCTAACTCAATCAAAGACATATGAAGCCAGTTTTTATAGGTCTCTAAGCCGGGTGCTTTAAACATCGAGGCTTGAGAGAGCATTTTTCTTGATTTGTTTAACCTTCTCTAGTGGTGGATTTGGTTACTCAGAGTACCTACACAGTATCATCGCCTATTACTTCCACCACCAGTGCGTTTCAATGATTTGAGATTTGTTTTCATTGTGTTGCAGCTCTTGGCTTCTAGCCAGCGGTAGTATCTGTGGTACTTGTGCACCAAAGGGAGTTTTAATATAAACCTCAGTATCATATCAGCATTACTGATGCTCAGTCTCTATAGGCCTGTAAAATCAACCTTTCTGTTTTCACTTCTCACTGTATTTTATGTTTTCTATGTCCTATTATGGTGCAAAAAATATTCTACAGTGTCATCATTTTCACTTTATAATTATTCGCTGTGCTGTATTTTTGTGTTTTTTTCTCGCTGTAGACCTCTGCACATTCTAGTGTGTAACGCAGCAGTGTGCACTCAGCCCTGGACCTTGACCGAAGATGGTCTAGAGTCCACCTTTCAAGTCTGCCACCTTGGTCACTTCCTGCTCGTGCAGAGCCTGCAGGATGTCCTGCGTCGTTCAGCACCTGCTCGCGTCGTGGTTGTGTCTTCAGAGTCCCACAGGTAAATCCAAGTTACTACAAAGAGGATGCTTGGTTTTGCATAAGTATCTAAATGGTTTAAACGACAGACTCATATACTAAGGGTTTACCAGAGGAAAATGTTACTGATATTTAAGTTTTTTTTAGATGGACTGCTTATCATCTTAAGTAATTTTAATGAGTAGCAGTATTTATTTACCTGGTATTTTAATTTTTCTTTCTTCAAAAATCCCCTTGATTCTTCAATTTCTGATAAACACATTCGTCCAATTTCACAAAAGTTTTTTGCAGAGGTAAAAACAAATGATGGCATCAGTCGACAAAAATAAAACCAAACTTTAAGAGACAACATATTGAAAATCTTTTATCACACCTGTGAATTATGACAGAAGTGAAATGTTCACGTAACCCTCAATTTAAGCTGCACTGTTCCCTGACTGCACATGCATTTCAAGTACTGTAGGCTGCACAATGGAAAACAAACATTGCTTTACGTTTTTGTACGCTCACTTCTTATTCCCTGTCACCGTTTGGCCATACTAACATCACACTGGTAGAGTTTAAGCAGTATTTTCTCTAAACTGCCCTGTCTGGTCTCCAGCCCTACAGCTTGCTGTTATAAACGCCACACTGGTTAGTTTTAAGGACAGAATTGACAGATAAGACTTACTGTGTATTGTCAAACATGACAGCCTCACTCACCGAAACTCATTTCCTTCAACACGCTGTCACTACGAATCAAACGTATCATCAGCATGATGGATGGACTTATCAGCTAAAATTTACTTTGATCAAGTATCTGCTCCTTTCTGTCTAACCCCCTGACTCAGCCTCTTTCTTCTTTCGTTTTCCCCTCATCTATTGTGCTTTGAATCCGTCTTTTTTTGTTAAGCAACTCGACTCTACAGGCTTATGTTTTTCATACTGTATGGCATGATGTCCTGCAGTGATCTTTGAGCCCAAAGCCCCGAGCCATGTGTTTCAGAGTCAGTCTCTGTCTGTGTGCAGCATTGATTCTGGCTTCAGTCAGTCAGACGACCAAGCAGTGATTGATTGGAGCTCTGGAGAGTGACCTGAGAATAAGGGAGCATGCACGGAGTCATTCTAGCAAATCACACTGCACCATTATTACAGGATACCTTATATGAACTATGTTATACAAATCATCACACGTGGAAAAATTAGGAATGGTGGTTGGACATTCAGACTCTGGCTCATACTCATTGTGCATGCTGTTAAAAGAAGAGAAAAAGTGGATGTAAGTGTAGGAAAATCATACTGTAAACATGTGCATGCATTTCTAGCAGTGCACTGTCAGGTGTTTTGTTTGAGCCTGTAAAATCTCAATGAGTTGTATATATTGGCTCACTCTTTGCTCCACAGCTTGCTTGCTTTTTCTGCTATCCTAACACTTATCCTCACCTTCCTCCTTCATTCTACAACCAGCAGTGGCTTTAACTCCTTCAAAGGGAGCTTAAGCAGGACTAGAGATAGTTAGTTACACCAACACAGACTAGAAGAAGAGAAAGAAAGAGGAATTTTAGACAATATCTCATATTGCATCTTCAATTCTGTCCACCTCATTCCAGACTTATATTGCATCCTTTGAAGTTGCTCCTTCTTTTGCTTGTGTTGTTTACACCTTTTGCCGATTTCCTCATTTATTCACTTAGCATCCCCTCACAGGCAGTGTGTGACCCCTGACCTTGCAGCATATTGTATTCCCTAAGCTCCTTGTCCTCTGGTAAATCACTGACCTGTGAGGGGCAGGGATGGGTAAGGTGGACGTTCGAGTAATGGTTGGACACGTTATCAGTTTACAACACAGGGGCTTACTGTGAAATTGACCAAATACCTGTTTACTTTAGTCTGTACTGCATCAAATTTTGTCAAAGAAAGATGGATAATAGCCTTAATGAAATTACCTCTAATAGATCTAAGCTGAAGCTACGGCTTTGTACTTTTATGTGCACTGTAAAACGATTGCCACCAAGATATCTATTACACTGATTGCAAAGTTTCATTTAAATGTAACTAGAAACAAGTTCAAGATATTGTGAAAGCAAATTGTCGACGGGGGAGGAATCCAGCGTTGGTGCTCAGGCAATTGATTTATCAACCTCTACTTGCTGAAGTAGTTATGAAGTTGCAGCACATGAAATGAAAAGCCTGCAGATGTTGTAATTTAGCCAAGCAAGGATGTTGCGGAAGGCGACAGTAAACAAGAGGCAGCGAGCTTGTAAAATCACAACAAGGAAACCAGGTGACATTTTGATTGGTTGTTTTCTAATGACTGGATTAATATGTAGAATGTGTTGCACTGGTTTGGAGCTGATCTCTCCTCTCTCTCTCTCTCTCTCTCTCTCTCTCTCTCTCTCTCTCTCTCTC